TTATTTATTTGCCCAATGGAACCATTCATTTGCAGAAGGGAGCTTTTTTTTTTTTTTTCCCCCTAAGAAGTGCTGAAGTGACTGATTGTCTAAGTTGAGTGTCAGGATTCGGGGTTGGGAGCATGGATCCCTTGGAAAAACATGTAAAATGCCTGCCTGTCTGGCTCTTTCCCCCACAAACCAGCAGCCTCTGGTCCACGCAGGTCATTCGAGGCACATCGAAGAAAAAGATCAAAGAGCAAGGATGAAAGGAGCACCCCCTACCTGCTGCTCTCTGGCCAGCAGGGAGGCAGGATGACAAGACCCCCAAAGCCCCTGCCCCGCGTTGCCATGACACCTTGCTTTTTCCGTCAAACTGGGTAGCTGGGAGAGGGGCGTTAAGTTGTTGACTTTGGCAAAATGTTAGCATGCTCTGTCCTGGTGCATATCGAGCTCGCTGCAACTGCCAGGAAAAAATATGGAGCCTTTTCAAAAGAATGACCAGGTAAATAAAATGTTTTGTGATTATTTAAGAAAATTAAATATGCGACAAGGCTTTGTCGAGCACCCATGGCTGGCCGGGCACCGTGTGGTTTTGTCTGGGACTCAGGACAGTTCCTAGCCTGTTGTTGTCGGGGGAAAGCCTGGAGAGACCCACAGGCGTGGCCAGGCGGCCATCTGTGCCGGGCCTGCACCTGGCGGGCTGGCCCCGAGCTCTGCGGTTCTGAGCCCGGGTGCCGGCCGCTGGAGAGGCTGGCCGAGCCTGAGCCGGGACCCAGCAAACTTGCAGAGCGCGCTCCACGCAGAAGCCCTGTGGTGCCAGGCTGTGCGTACGGTGTGTGTCTGCCTCCTGGCTCAGTGTCAGTAGTGGGGAATTGCGTGGCGGTGGAGAGGTGAGCTCTGCGCTCCCCGCACAGTCAAGGAAAGCTCTCTGTGACGGACGGTTCTGTGCGCGCACTGTCCCCCACGGAAGCCACATGTGGCCACGGAGCCCTCGAAGGGTGGCTAGTCCAAGGAGAAACTGCCCTGTTAATTTTATTACATGTATTTCATTATAATTACATTATACAATTAAATTATTAGGTGTATTAAATGGCCACGCAAGGCCAGTGGCTTCTAGGTCGGACAGTGCAGGTGCAGACGGATGTCGTCCTCCAGCTCTGTGGGTCCTGCAGCCCCATCTGCCTGCGTGTCTCCCCTGCCCCTCCTTCTCCTCAAGCCCCGGCTCAGGAGTCCGCCCCCACAGGGAACCCCTGGGCCCCCGAGGGTCCTGGAGCGCTGTGAGGACATCACTGCCGTCTTGATCACCAGCACTGCCTGCTGCTGTGTCCGCGTCCTGCCCTCCGCCGTCAGCCCCGGGAGCAGGTGTAACCGCAGCGCCTGGCTCAGGGCCTGCAGGTCACAGGACCACACACGGTTACGGAATGAGCTCACCCACCCGTCTGTCACCCCCCACGAGCAAGCACTGTGCTACGGTACTGTGTATGGTGCAGACGGGAGGGGCCTGGGCCTGCCCTCAAGACACTAGTGCTCCACCAGGGAGACAGACGTGGAAGTCAAGGCAAGGACAGGTGCCGGGGGGCGCATCTCCTCCGGCCGGGGCAGCCGAGTGGGGGGTGCTGGGGAAGGCTGTCCAGGTGAGGTCTTCCAGGGGGAGAGGGAGCCGGCTGGGCGAAGGCGCGAGGGCCGTTTCGGTCGGGATGCTGGGCGGAGGGGGGAGCACCACATGCTCTGTCGGTTTAGTGTTTCTGGAAGTCATCAGCTGGGGTTTGGGGAGCATGAGCCTCGGGAGGTTGGAAAGGCCCCGTGTGCCTTTTGAGGGCTTCTTCCAAGGAGCCGGTGAAGGGTCGGGACAGGTGAGGGACTCCTATGCGTCCGCTCGCCTGAGCTTTGACCTGACGCATTTGTGGGGGGCAGGTCAACCCCCGCACAGCAGGGACTCCCCTACACTCTGCCTTCCAAACAGCCTGCGGCTACAAAGCAGCAAGGTCTTCCCCGGACCTTTGAGGTCCAGGGCTGGGGTCAGAGACCAGGTGTTTCACTGGAGGCAAATTATACTCAGAGACTGAGACTGTCCTCACCAATAATTTATTTAACACAGGTTCACTGTGGAAATTGTAATTTCTGATAATAATATTTCACAAGCCAAGAGCATACAGGATAATGTCTCCTAATGAACACATCCTGAACCAATGATAGGTTAATTACACTATTGTTCCGGGCAAGGGGCAGATGAGAGAAAGTAAGTCCAGGTTTAGGTGAGGCGTCCTTTTCTATGAGGCTGTTCTTTGTAGAGTCAGTCCTTCCAACCAAAAGCTAGGGGCCCCTACCAGTGTGGGTCCCTGTAGCTGGTGGGCAACGGCGTGGTGTTGGCAGGCAAGGCGGGGTTAGTATCCCGGGCCGTTGTGGGGCTCGCACCCCGCCCACGAGGAGGAGCCTCGCCAACGCAGGGGCAGAGGTCCCTTTTCCCCCGGAGACTGCTGCCGGGTGAACCACTGCCGACCGGGAGGAGCCGGAGGGCTGCCGCGGGAGCAGGGGTCTAGTTCTCCGGAGCGCTCCTGAGATCAGCCAACGCTCGGGTAAGTCCTCCTCGGATTCTCGACGTTTGAGGTCTAAGGGTCGGCGCCGTGACGCCGCTGAGCCTGTCAGCTGTCGAGCCGCTGAGTGCTTACTGACACCAGGTGTCGGCGACGAGGCCCTGTCACAGCTTCCTGCACGCACACACATTCACCCTGAGATGAACACCTCGCTCATGTCGTAAACACGTGGGCTTGAAATGGTCACAGAGCAGCCAGCCGCCACCATCCGGGCATGGTGTCCCCTCCCGCCTGCAGCGTCCCTGGGTCCTGGGAGACGTAGGGGTGGCTGCAGCCTGTTTTGCTCAGAAAATCCATTTTACACCTGTTTTCCTGGTGTGATTAGCAGCAACCCCCTCACTCTCAAAAGTGTCCAGCTTTCGGTTGGTAAGTGACCAGGCCAACCTTCCAGCAGCGCATCCTTCGGTGAGCCGGCCAAACCACGGGTGGCCATCGCTCTGCTTGTGAGACAATCACAAAGCCCCGTGTCCTCCATTCTTGGAAGGGAGAGCTGCTGTATTTTCTTGCGAAGCGTAAGAAGTTAGCACCTCCGCATCCAGATGGTGAAGGGGGTGAATGGAAGGAAGGATGGAGGAGGCAGGTGGTGAAGTCTAGACATTTAAAAAGCACACATTGTGGGTTAATTCCTATCGTCCCTCTCCCCCTGGCAATTCCACGTTCCTTTTTACTGCATCTTGTAATGTTTCACCAGGGAATGGAATAAAATGGTTTTTAATTTATGGTTATTTCATCTTGACTTCTTTCTTCATTTGTCTAGATTTTATTTGCAACGGATGACTTTTTTGCTCCGGCGGAAAACCTTATAAAGGTATTGTACATCAGCATTCTGCAACGTGGAGTGCTGAGGCAGAACCATCTGTGCAGTTAAAATCCACTGGGGTGCTGGGGATGGGAGTCCTGGAATGTGTGCCAGTGAATTAGCATGTTAGAACAGTAGAAACCAGCTCCAGCTCATGCTAAGACACGCTGGAGACAGACGGGCACCTGACACAGGGATTTGGGACTGCACTGCTTTATGGGGAAATTACTGAGATCCTCGTATTTTGTCCTCTGTCTAACGTGGAGTTCGTGATCTGTAAACTGTGCAGGGAAGAAAACTGGCACACATCTCGAAAGTCTGGAAAATGTTATCATAATTATAAAAGTGTAGGACATACTTACTAAAAACTGAACAGAAAGCCCAGAAAATGCTGACAAATAGAGGGAAGAAGGGAGCCTCAGCTAGAATCCGGCAACCTTGTCACACCAGCTGTGGGGTGTGAATTCTTGCGAGTGGGCGGACAAGCACAGTTGTGCACAGCGTTCACGCCCACGCACACCGAGTGTGACTGCAGCCAGAGTGTCTGCCCGCTGGCCAGCATGCTGTACTCCGCCGTGAGCCTCCGCCGTGCTCACTGGCCCTCCGGTCAGTCTTCCTGGGCGGGAGCTAGCCAGGTCTAGAGCATGTTAAGGGCATCTTGTCGATTATATGAACTTACTCCTCAGAGAAAATGATAATAAAATGAGGAACAGAGATGTTGATTTACTTGTTCTAGGTCACACAGCTAATAGAGGTCAAAGCTCTGATCATTTTGCCATATGTCTTTCTATAGGAAATTTAAATGCATACACGCCTCGGCCTAGCTGTTCCACAGATTGATATTACTTGCATAAATAGGCAAAGATATGTAGAAAATAGTCATTCCGGTGTTGTCCGGATGGGAGAAAACCAACTAAATGTCCACTGATGGGGAACTGGTTAAAGAGCCCATGATATGAGCTTCCAGATGTGGAATACTACGTGGCCACTAAAAAGAATGAGCTAGCGCTCTCCACGCATGCCGGCAACGGAAGGTTCATGCGTGTTGTACGTACATAAAACAGTGTTTAAAAGGATACACACTGAATGGTGAAGTGTGGTTGTCTGTGAGGTGCTGGGCTTGGGAGGGGGATGGGACAAAGAATGGGGCCTTTTTCTTATATTACACTCAAGTATATATATATATTCTATATACACTTACAAATCTGCACACACGTGTGTACATATATCCGTATAATATGCGTGTGTGTGTACATAGGTACATTTCCTTTCTGAAAACAAACAAACAAACCACAGATAAAGCTAAGGTCCCTCTCACCACCCACTTTAATGCCCATCCACTCCTTCCCTTTATAGAATTAACACTACTGCGAGATTGGCACATTCTTCTAATATATTTCATACTTTTAAATAAATATATCTGTATATAGAAAGTAGTCCTGCTGTCTGTTTTTAAATTTGTATACATGTACTTATAAAGTACTTAAGGTTCTGTGACATGTCGCATGGGATGTGCGCGTGTTCTGCCCATGCAGAGGGGCACGGTCTGGTGGCCCCTGAACTGCACACCACCGGGTCCCTTTCCTGTGCTGACACACATTTAGGTTGGTTAAATTTTACCTACGATGAACATCCGTGTGCAGGGATTGGCACACGTGCGGGTTTACCCCTGGGATGGGGCTTTGGTGTTCCTTTTCTACGAGCTGATTTGTCCTCATTTGGTGAGTACCATTTTTGTGAAAGTGCTGTTTCCAGTCGAGTCGCGAGTTTCCTTCCATGTCGATCCGGTTGCCATGGCAGCAGGACAACAGTGCACCAGCGAGGACCCCCTGCCACCAAAGCTACACCGAGTACCAGGAAGCTTGGGGCTGAGCGAGCGCTGGGCTTCCCGTGGGTGGTGCACCCCCTTTTCTCTTGCTGGGTTCGCAGCAAAGCTTCTGAATCCCCTATGGACACGGGAAAGACTGGAGTTCAGATTGTCTTTAGATGTGTTCGGATTGTAACACAATTCAAATGCCACCAACTTGGACATAATAACGCTAAACAAATATTGGGCCCTTACCATATGCCAGGCACTGCTCCAACAATTTTAATGCTTGCCATGACCTCAGAAGGAACACGGCACTGTATCTCTGCCCTTAACACACAAGGAAGCTGAGGCACAGGAGGTCGGGCATTGCGTCTGAGCACGTGTGGACCTTCGGTTTTGCCCCACATAGCATCTCCACGGGGGCCCAGCCTGGCCCCAATACCAATACCGCGTGTTCGTGACTTTGTTCTTTTCCTCTGCACCTGCTGGGGAGGTTTTCCTAAGCAGAAACATAAGACTCTCCTTGTACTTGAGTTGATGTAAAAAGTGCAAATGTCCCCCAGCTTGGCCACCCACCAAGCACAACAATTTCTGAGTCTATGCTATTGATGGGGGCTTTCACACGTATTATTTCAACCTCATAACAGCCCTGCAAGGGATGTGTTCACCATCCCCGTTCTTCAGGATGAAGCAGTGGGGGCTCACCTATTTGTCCAGGGGCAATAAGGGGCTGAGCTGAGCCTCACACCATCCTGTTTTTCCCCCTGTGGGCACAGAGCAGCTCTGAGGGCTGGGGTTTAAGTGTTCAGCTGGGCCCTAGCATCCAGCCTGCCACTTACACTCTTTGGCCGGATTCCTTGTTAAGCAGTCTTTTCTAGGTTGCTTGGGAACTCTGTCCTCTCTGTCTTTGCTCCTTTCAGGATGCATATAGGCTGCAACAGGGAGCTGCGTGGTTTGCGGGGCCGCAGAATGAACTGTGACGGGGCTTTACCTATTGCTATAGCAGTTTGTTCTGTGTATTGAGGCCCGCCCACAGAGAAGCAGAATTTCGTTCTCTGGAGGTGGTACAAAGATAAGAAGACACCCCCGATCTGGAATGGGGTCCCTGTGTGTGAAGGTAGTAGCAGACTCCCCTGTACCTACCTAGGAGTCCCACAGAGTCCCTGCGGGCATGGCCCACCTGTCCCTTTGGGGTGGGAGTGGATATGCCGGAAGCCCAGGCCCTCGCATGGGTGTTAACGATGGACTTGTTGTGCATCTTTGCTTTAGAGTGACAGCCCAAGCTTCAAAGTACACGAATACACTGAGTTTGGGAAGTGGATGGATGGATGGGAGACCAGAAGGAAAAGGATTCCAGGTAACGAGATCTCTCTTTCTTTCACTGCGGTGAAGCTTAAACACGGTGTTGGAAAGCCTGTGTGCATTTCCGGTCACTTGGTCACGGGCCCTTGGAATGCTCCGTATCTCGGATGACCCTTCTTAACATTAGGCTCTGAGGACGTAGGAAGGGGTCATGTGTGCACCGGCAGGCGGGAAGGAGGGCGTGCACACCCCTGGGACATGTCGGTGAGGCTGTGGGGGGCGGCGAGGACCTCCCCGAGCGGTGTGGCTCATTTGCGGTGGGCCTTCACCCCCGTTCCCTGGGGCAGGGGCTCTTATCCCCACGTAGCTGCTGTGGAATCAGCCTCACTCACTCAGCCCCGGTCCCATCACTGCACACGCTTCCTGTCACCTGAGGATCTACTTTTTCTCATTGCTACTCATCAGGCTCAATCAAAATACTCCTTTTGAAGTTGAAGGAATGTCCGTAAAAGCAAACTAATCCAGCATTAGGCTAATAACTGGGGGTTTTTTTTGGGGGGGTCTGTCTCAAGTATTACAGAGATACTGGGTATTTCTAAGGTACTCCAGACACGATCAGATTCCAATGAATCTGGGCATTTAAAGGTGGGTCTGCATCGGACTGCAAGTAACCAAGAACTACTTGGTGATCTACAACTTGGAGACTTCTTAGACTTTAGCAGACGCAGGGGGCTGAGCTGGGTGGGTCCCCACAGGAAGTCCCCAGAGCCTGAGGTGACGGTGAGCAGGCCACTTCTGGAGGCCCAGCTCCACAATGAGCACCTGGTGAGCTGGGTGGGGTCTTGTCTACACTGTGCACAGTCACAGTTGACCTTTTTGGAAGCTGATCTCGCAGTTGTAGAAACAAGGCTCAGAGAGGCCAGTTTTTACTTTGGAACCAGAATCCGGTCTCCCTGGATCCAAGGCCTATATGCATGTCCTGCTGTGATTGGAACACGGGTTCTCGTGGGGCACGGCGGCCAGCCACATATGGCCATGTTATAGGAGATCTTTAAGTCACAGCTGAGAGTTAACCTGTGTGCACTTTTCTGTGGCAGGAGGAGGGTGCTGCTTGTTTTCATTTCAGTTCTGTTCAACCCCACGCTTCATCTAACGAGTTAAACCTGACGGGATGTCCTTGTTCACGTCTCGTAGGTCATGACTGGTGCATCATCAAGCTGGGGATACAAGGGATTATCCGAGGCTTCGATGTGGACATTTCTTACTTCATGGGGGATTATGCTCCTCGAATGTCAATTCAAGCAGCAAACTTGGAAGAAGGTGCCCTGGGAACCACCGGCCCCCAGAATGAGCACTGTGGGGTTGTGGGGTCATCTGGCCCAGCCCCCTGATGTGCACTTTCCATCCAGACAGGTTCAGCGACTTGTCTAAGGCCACTTTACTGCCACGGAGCTGTAGAACTTGGATTCCCAATAGAGTGTTCTGTGATCTTTGATTTTTAGCTTGACCAAATGTAGAGTTCATTATGCCCACACTCTTGAGGCCTCACCTAGAGGCATACCCTCCTGGCACCGTGAGGTTTGGGGAGAGGTTGCAGGGGAGGGTGGCAGGCAGTGGGCTACCTGGACAGTGTGGCGCCACGTCTGGGCCAGCTCTGGACGTGTGGTATCAGCTTCTTTTCGGTTCTCCCAGTGTGCATAATGATGCAGTAGCCACAGGGTTTTCGGAGAGGGTTCCTTGCTGCTTTGTGGGATGCTGGACCACATGAATCACACAGGCTCTGTAAGTTAGACCTGGGTTTTTATTCCTTCAATTGGCATAATCTGAAGTTGGTCCCGGCATTATTATTATTTTTTTTTTAGAAATAGGTACCATTATGTGTGTGCATATGCATGTACTTAGGGAAGATAAATCAGGACAGTTGGCAAATTTACGCTGAGAGCATTGCATCGGTAGCTCTGAACGAGGCTCTGTGGAAGGATGGGCCCTGCTCCTGATGACAGTGGGGGAACCTGAAAAGTTAGGGGATGATGGAGAGATGCTATTCTGGAGACAGGAAATGACTAAGGACAAACAGTAAGATTCCTTCTGCAAGTTCAGCAATTGTCCCAGATATTGCCCAAATATCAATTCCAAGGATGCCAGGGGTGGCGGGGTGGGGGGGTCCTGTTTCTGGAACTGGCCTGGCAATGTTCCAGAATTTCCATTGATCCAACTTCTAAAAACTCTAGTCATGATACATCTGTTGCAGTTGGACTTAACCTGGAAATGGTATGTATTATTTTGACAAGCAAATGTCCTACCATATGTTTTGCAGGACTTTTTGGGATGACTTAGTGTTTTAAATATCGAGGAACTTCAAGTGTGTCTATTACTTTGGTCATCTGACACTCTGACTTAGGAAATGTCATCTTTGGGTTTATTTGACAGAATGAAAATGAACATACAGCCCACTATGAGACTATATTCTTTTTGATTTTGAACACGAACCATAACCCTATTGGTCAATCTGCCTTCAGATAAACAACCAGAAATCCCACAGAGAGGAGTCAGGACAGGAGTGGCAGCCACGCCGGAGGAGTTTGAGGCTGTTGCTGAGGTGAGCCTGCAAACAGGATCCGGGGACCTGTCATGGTGGTTGGGACGGCAAGGGAACTGCTCTGTATGGCTGGCCACGAGGGTGCTTCTTTGGGACATTCAACCCAGGTACACCTCCCCTCATTTACTGGCCCGGCGTGACTTTGCAGATGCTTCTCGAATGGTTCATGCAACCCCTGTACAAGGGAATGCCATGGCCCGTGTGAGGTCTGGAGTAGTGTGTCTCAGGGCGCTCTGCTTACCCATGATCATCCACCGGATGCTGCCCTGATGAGATAAATACAGAAATCCACAGTAATAGCTTACATACTTCTTATACAGCAGTTTGACAAAGCAAACTTTATGCCTGATGAGTTTGATAAACAACTTGGGCTTGTGTTTTGGTACATTCTTGTTTTTTAAAGTTTGTCTAGTAATTAATTTATACTCTGTTTTACAAAAATGTTGATCATAACAGACTGGAAAATAAGTAACAACAACAGTTTAAAGAACAAGAATCTAAAGGAAATGGTCACAACATTCAAGTCACTGGTCAACCCCAGGTCTCAGGGTCCCTGAGGACAGCCCAGTTTTTCCTGAATGTTCACATAACCATTCTGGTTTCTTCTAAGAATCCCCAGAGGGAATCTCAGATCTTGTCCTTCGTTCCCAAACCCCCCTGCCTTTTCTCCTGCCACCATCACCCAGTGGCTATTTTGATCAGGATGAAAAAACCCTCAGGCCTTTTTTCTGTTTAGTAAACCCGAGACTTAATCTTTATTAGTATTTTTATTAAAGTATTTTATTAGACATCCATCATCAATTTTTATTCCAAAGTATCTCTATCCTGTAGGCCCTACGTGAGCACTAGGATGAGAAAATTTACCATTCCCCGGAGCCGCTGCTAACATTTTTATATTTATTGCTAGCTGAAGTCCAATGACTGGAACTACCTGGTCCCTATGACAGAGCTTAAACCAGGAAAGCCGGCTTCCAGCCACAATTATTTTCCTGTCAATTCCCAGCAGAGATGGAGTCACGTGAGACTCAACATTTTCCCGGGTAAATATGATGTGGACCCATCTGTCGTTCTGTGGCTTCTTTACTTAATGTGGGCATATTTCAGAGTGAAGTCACTCATCGCTCTAACATTTTAGGGTTATAATTTGCCCTTTTTGTGCTCTAGGAAATTCTTGTTCCAACCCAACCATCGTTGGTAGTTATTGAAAAGGCATTAGGTCAATTAGGATATGATGGAACTGAGCTGTATTAGGTTAAATAGCTTCTAACGATTTCTATTTCACCGGGCACACTAGCAGATCAAGTAGTGTGTGCAAATATCCCTCATTTTCTTTTATTTAACAGCTTTATTGTAATGTAATTCACATACCATGCAATTCACCTACTTGAAGTGCACAGTTCAGTGGTTTATAGTATACGTCAGTATATGGTTTAAAGTCTACAGAAATATACAGCAATGTGCACCCATCACCACAGTCAATTTTAGAAGGATTTATCACCTCAGAAAGAAATCCTGTACCCTTACTATCAACCCTCATCTCCCTCAGCCCTAAGCAACCATTAATCTACTTTCTGCCTTGACAGAGTTGACCATTCTGGACATTTCATATAAATGGTCTTTTGTGACTCGCTTCTTTCACTTAGCGTGTTTTCAAGGCTCATCCACGTTGTAGCATTATTAGGAGTACTTCATTCCTTTTCATGGCAGAATAATATTCCACCGTACAGATAAAACACGTTGTTTATCCAGGTCATCAGTTGATGGACATTTGGGTTGTTTCCACCTGTTGGCTACCTAGGGATAATGTTGCTATAAATATTCCTGTACAAGTTTTTCATTTGGGTATATATGTAGGATTGGAATTGTTGGGTCATATGATAACTATGTTTTTAATTGTTGGGAGGAACTACCAGATTATTTTCTAAAATGACTGCATTATATTATATTCTCACCAGCAGTGTGAAGGGTTCCAATTTCTCCATATCCTTGTTAACACTTACTATTATCAGGCTTTTTTATTGTAGCCATCCTAGAGGATGTGAAGTGGTATCTCACTGTGGTTTTAATTTGCATTTCTCTAATGACTAATGATGGTGAGCATATTTTCAGTTCCTTACTTTGGCCATTTGAGTATGTTTATATATGCATGTGTATATGTACACATGTATTTATAAACATTTTTTTTTGAAAAGTATCTTTTGCCCATTCTTAAGTTGGGTTTTTGTTTTTTATGTAAGAGTATGTAAGAGTTCTTTATATTATCCTAGATACATATCCTTTACTGGATATATGATTTGCAAATATTTTCTCCTGGGGTCCAAGTATAAAGGGGAAGGAAGCAGTAGGACAACCTGATGGGGCATATAGGATGGCAACAGGTTGCTTTAAATGAGTCACCCTCAGAACATGGAGGGGCATGTCTAATATCCTTGATAGTTTTCATTAAAAGTGAGGCTGGATATTAACTCTGTAAAGAAGAATCTTATTTTTTAAAATATCAAGTCAGCTTTACACTCAACAAACAAGTATCTTCTATACCATCAAAGAGGATCACCGTGTCCAGTGAACCAGAGCAGTGGTGCTCATAGGTTAGCTTCTGCTAAATTACTCCCTCTAGTATATTTTTTAGGGTATTATGCTAACATAGTCTGGTTTTATTTATTGTAAATGTCAAGACTGTTCTACTGAAATTTTTTCAGATCATTCAGTTTCATCAAATTTTTCATGTAAAAATATATAGGGTTTGGTTTCAGTAGAATACTCTGATTAATGAAAAATTCTATATGTACAAAGCTTGCTCCCATATTCTAGGAAGTACTGGCCAAACAAATAAAAATATTCACTTTATGCCAACATCAACTCACATTATCTGATTCTGCTCTACAGACCTAATCTTGGCTGCTGTGGTTCTCAGAAACGATCTGGTTTTGTGAATATTATCTTTTCTATTCTCAATCGCATTGCTAAGCAATATGTTGTTATAAAAATAAAAACATAATGCTCATGTATGAGTCTGTGTAGGATTTAGCAATGCTAATTTGCGGCATCAAACATTATATCTATGGTGAATTTCCCAGTTTCCTTTTGACCTTCTTGGAGTTATTAATCCAATAAAAAATGTGAGCACCTACTATGTGCCAGGACCAGTTCTAGATAGAGATGATAGAGATAGATCATTATTCTGGCTTTCAAAGATTTTATACTCTGGTTCTGGGAGACTGATATCAGCAGGGGCTTAAACAAATAAAGTGACAAGATAATTTCAGACTGTGAATTGAACTCTGAAATAAATATGGGAAGGGATGGTACACCCGACCTGGGGAATCAGGCAGGGCCAGGCAGAGCTGGAAGGAGGTAGCTAGAGAGTGAGAGAAAAAGCCTCTCTGAGACCATGACACTAAAGGTGAGACCTAAAAACAACAAGTTGTCTTTTGGAGAGCTGGGAAAGTTGTTCCAGTACAAAGGAATGGTAGGTGCAAAGGCCCTGGGGCAGTAGAGTTGGTGTATTTGAGAAATAGAGCAGGCAGGATGTGGAGGGCTTTGTCATTTACGACCCACAAACAGCCACCTTTCCAAGTGACAAATAACTATGTCCTCCTTCCTTCTTAGACGGTGGAATTGCACGTCTTAGAGTATATGGTACTGGACAGAAAGACTGGACTGCAGCTGACCCCAAAGAACCTTTTGACCTAGTGGCCATCGCTCACGGGGGTGCCTGTAGGATTCAGCAATGCACACTTTGGGCATCCAAACAATATGATAGGTAAGATGATGCTCTGGGAGCTGGCCTTTATTTGGGATGTCTGGGCATCAACATTAAGCACCCTGTATGGTATGAATGATTTAAGAGGAAGCACAGGAGTGGATGGGATTAACCATCGACACATAGGGTTTGATGCCTTTATGATGTGAAGTAAATCAATAGAAATTTTCCTTCCTAATTTTGGCCTAAAGGGAAAAGTAAAACTTACTAACCCTCTGGCTGTATGTGAATTTACCAAAACATTAAGTTGAATGAAAATGATTTGTGTAGCAGTGGTCAGGTGCATGGAATCTGTGATTTAATGACGCCAATGCATTCATCCTCACATTTAAGATAAAATCCTGTGATGTTCCCCTTAAACCATGTCATTCTCGGCAGGAGTTGGAAAGGCCAGGTCTGTGGCAGATGGCTGGGAGACCGCGAGAAGGCTGGACAGGCTGCCAGTATTAGAGGTAAGGAGTCCAAAACAGCCACAGAAAAGTTTTCTAAATCTTGTTTTAAATTTACATCAAGGGGGACGCCTGGGTGGCTCAGTTGGTTAAGCATCTGCCTTCAGCTCGGGTCATGATCTCAGGGTCCTGGGATCGGGTCCCGCCCGCATCGGGCTCCTTGCTCGGCGGGAGGCCTGCTTCTCCCTCTGCCTGCCGCTCCCCCTGCTTGTGCTTTCTCTCTCTCTCTCTGACAAATAAATAAAATCTTTAAAAAAAAAAAATTTACATCAAGGAAATGCTTATTTCAGAAAGCTCTCAGGCAATGTTCCAGAAGTAGTTCTCCCTGTTTTCCGGATCCCCTGCTGCCTCAGTGTACCGTCAGGGCAGAACCTGGAAGGCCCCCATGCTGGCCACACCAGCCACTCTAAGGCATCACTGCTCTGTCCTTGTTTCTATATTTTTTTTATTTTTAAAATTTTAAAAATATTTTATTTATTTATTTGAGAGAGAGAGAGAGAGAGAGTGAGCATGAGCAGGGGCTGAGGGAGAGGGAGAGGCAGACTCCCTCCACCAACATGGAGCTTGATCCCAGGACCCTGAGATCATGACCTGAGCCAATGGCAGACGTTTACCCGACTGAGCCACCCAGGTGCCCCTATTTATTTATTTTAGAGTGAGAGACAGAAAGAGAGCACACAAGGGGGTGGGGAGGAGCAGAGGGAGAGGGAGAGAGAGAATCCCCAAGCAGACTCCCCACTGAGCGTGGAGCCTGACTTGGGACTCAATCTCCTGACCCTGGGATCACTACCTAAGCCAAAATCAGGAGTTGGATGCTTAACAGACTGAGCCACCCAGGCACCCCCCAACCCCGTTTCTTTAATAAAGAAATGCAGATCTACAATTTAATGATAGAAAACCCATGGATAAATTTGTTGGTCAACCTGGAGAAGAAAACACCAGTTGAATCATTTTGTTTTCTGTGTGCCCTTGGATGAGACCACTGTGGATGTGTGACAGATCGGGGTCTCTTGAGATTACTCAGCTGTTCATTTTGGCCAGTGACTAATGTGAGCTGCAAAAGTCAAAACAAAAGCAAAACAAAACACCTTTCTGTGTGTTAATCCCACTGAAAACTTACTGGTAAACCCCCTTTCTTGGGTCAGTGTTCATGTCAACCAATACTTCCAAAGAAAATGAACATAATCCCATTGCCAGAAACTAAGGTTTGGGTGCAGATCATTTATTGGTATGGATTTGACCAAGAACATAACTACTTTGAAAGATCAAAACAAACTGATCAGAGGACCAGGGGCTCAGACACAGACCCTTCTACATGAGTTTACGTCGACATAGAAAATCCTATTAAAAATTTGTAAAAACTTACCAATTACCCAATAAGCTCATGAGTCCAGATGAGGCATTTAAGGAATAATAGGCAAAGAGACAATTAACACAAAATGTAATTTACATATCAGGGCCTAGGAAACACACTTTTATAGTAAGAAATAAGAGAAATATCATAAATACATGTCAACATTTTTCACTTGCTGGTTTCCAGAATTAGTTTCTCAAATGGCACTAAGCTGGCTTATCTTTTTTTTCTTCCTCATCATTCTTCTCTCATCATTCCAGAATGACGAGAACGGCATTCTCCTTATTCCGGGTTGTGAATGGGCAGTTTTCCGATTGGCACATCCTGGAGTAATAACTCAAATAGAAATTGATACAACACATTTTAAAGGTAAGTGTAAGGCTGTCAGGAAGTGCATATAACCAGTGTGCTGGTTATAGAGATAATGTGGTCCTGTGGGCGTGGAGCTCAGGATGGTGGGCTGGGGACTCAGCTTTTACCCTCAGCAGATGTGAGGTTTTGAGCAACTTCCTCTAACTCTTGGTGCCCTACTTTTCGTCTTTATAAAATGTCAGAGTTCAACTGGATGACGCCCCCAGAGTCAGACGAGATTCTGTGAAGACTCTATACTATAGGGGCCCTGGATCTCACTTGGAATGAGTGTGAAATAGCCTCTGGTTAGGACATGAGAAGAACTGGATGGCGTCTTCTTACTGGGGGGAGGGGGACGAAGCAGATTGGTTGGGGATGACCATTTCCACTCCAGATTGGACTTTTAAGGCAGGGAGCTACACATTTTCAAAACCATGCCCTTCCGTTAAAAAAAAAAAAAAAACATTTGCAGAAGCACCCCTGATATTCGAAACCTACTTTCCTATGAAATGTATACATGTGTCATTATATCGACAAAGTTCAAGAGCGGATATTAAACCTTTATACTGTCGGGTGAAATTTTCATACGTACTGGATTGGGTGTCTTGTGATTGTTTAGTTGTCAGTAAATGGTGGCAGTTTATACTCCTATTTTGGATGCCTTGATGTTTAAATGTCTTGTGAATCATTGTGACTTCACTCATTTACCACGCCAAGACACAATATATATTTAAAGTGAAGCTCTTCTTCAGTGGTAGTGGATTTAAGTGAATTATTTCAAGTATTGATCATTGTGACCTATTTTTGGAAGACTACTTTAGATCTGATTGTCGGGTCACTGTTTTCACTTTTCTTTCTTTTTTTTTTATTATGTTCAGTTAGCTAGCATGTAGTACATCATTAGTTTTTGATGTAGTGTTCAACGATTCACTAGTTGCGTATAACACCCAGTGCTCATCACCATACGTGCCCTCCTTAATACCATCACCCAGTTACCCCATCCTCCCACCCCTCTCCCTTCTGTAGCCCTCATTTTGTTTCTGGAGTCCAGAGTCTCTCATGGTTTGTCTACCTCTCTGATTGCTTCCCATTCAGTTTTCCCTCCCTGCCCCTATGGTCCTCCATGCTATTCCTTATGTTCCACATATGAGTGAAACCGTATGATAATTGACTTTTCTGCTTGACTTACTTTGCTTAGCATAATCCCCTCCAGTTCCGTCCATGCCAATGCAAATGGTGGGTATTCATCCTTTCTGATGGCTGGGTAATATTCCATTGTATATATGGACCACATCTTCTCTATCCATTCATCTGTTGAAGGGCATCTCGGCTCTTTCCACAATTTGGCTATTGCGGACATTGCTGCTATGAACATTGGGGTGCATGTGGCCCTTCTTTTCACTACGTCTGTATATTTGGGGTAAATAACACAGCTGATGAAGAGCTCATTCTGGATCAGTGGTGATGTCAGCTCTGCTTTTTTCTCGTGGTTTGTGGATGCTTGCATTTCTGGTGATATCTTTAATCCATGGGTGTCTGCATGGATAGTTTAAAATCACTTGTTAATTTTGTGAGTGATAGTTTATTTAAAACCAGGTAACAATCAGTAAGTCCGTGTAAACGGGGTGCCTGACTGCACTGTCAGGAGCTTGCTGCTGTCTGCTCTCCAGTTTCCGTGCATCACATGAGGACAGTCGTGGAGTGGGGGGCGTGCCAGGATCTAGCTGTCCTCTCAAATACACAAGGCCTAATAGATACGCATGTATGTGCATAGATATTAGAGAAATAGAAACAGAAATAGTGGCTTTCATGTTCTCCTCCTGCATCTTTTGGGTTTCCGTGTGCACCCGGGAGCGTGCTCACCCACCTTGGAGGTCACTGTTTTAAGAGATGAGCTATAGGGGGCATGAGAACAATGCATTTTTTTTTCTGTCAGGTTCTTTTTTTTTTTTTTTTAAGATTTTATTTATTTGCGAGAGAGAGAGAACACAAACAGGTGGAGTGACAGGCAGAGGGAGAGGGAGAAGCAGACTCCCTGCTGAGCAGGGAGCCCAATGTGGGCCTCGATCCCAGGACCCTGGGATCATGACCTGAGTCAAAGGCAGACGCTTAATGCCTGAGCCACCCAGGTGCCCTTCTGTCAGGTTCTTTATCAGCAACCCCTCCTCTGCTGATCTTAAAGTCTTAGGGGATGCCTAAAGTGGTCTCCCCACAAAGAGTGTGGCCCTCCAACCCCACTGGACACAACCCTGATGAATTCCAGAGAGAAGAGAGACTCAGGACCCTGCGTCTCACCTGGGGAACAGTGAGCACACCTGGAATACAGCACTTGGGTTGGTGCTGCTCACTGACTGGTTGACTTAGCTCGGTCTCTTTACTTCACGTGACGACGTACGATACCATAAGAAAGTATCTTCCAGCTTCAAAATAGTTTCAGATGAACCACACAGCCCCATGCAAGTACTTAACTGCAATCTAGGGTGCTTATTGCCTTCAACTTTCAAAGTAAAATGCTGCACATCCAAACTCCAACATGCCAGCTGGCTAATGATGTCAGGTCGATTCTGATTCCTCTGAAACACACACCTACATTTCATCAGGCGATCCAACCCCATCCCTGCTGGGTGCTTTCCTTCTCTCACATACGTCACACCTTTGCTTCTGTTCGGAGAGAATAATCTGTTCTTTGCTGGGTCTTTGATTTGATTAAAAAGTCCAAGACCGTATAAGCCAAAGTGCTGAGTATAAACAGAATAGAGAGAGTCACCCTGCGTTTGCTCTGACAGGCAATTCTCCCGACAGCTGTAAGCTGGATGGTTGTATCCTGACGACTCAGGAGGAAGAAGACATGATGAAGCAGAAGTGGGAGCTTCCGGGCCATAAGTGGAAACCGCTGCTGCCAGTCACCAAGGTGTGGCACCCATGGGGAGCTGAGCAGGCTGGCCCCCAGCCTAGCCGCATCCCTCAGATTTGCTTTCCAAACCTTCTGATCGGCTTCACAGTAACACGGACAAGCTTCTAAAAACTGTTATCTGTGCATTTATGTCATGAAAACACAGGCTCTAGTTCATACCTTTGCATTTCTAACAACCAAGTTTTGTTTTAAGTCATCATGTGCAAAGAATATATACATACTTCCATATATATGTATATGGAAGATGTTTCTGCAGTATATTAACTTTTTAGAAGGGATGAGTAGCATATTTAAAGCTATAACAGCATGTCCTCTTGTGGGATGGATGCTGAGATGTTCCAGAAGCATCCTCTCCCATCCAGTGGGAGGACAGTCATTTGCGGGTCAGAGTGGGGCATGAGGGTTGCTCCCACGGAGTGATGGGTGACGACTTCTGGGAGGTCACTTACTTTCTTTTCCTTATCAGTGTAAGAATGAAGAAGTTCATTAACTATTAAGAACCACAAACATCATGGACCCAAGTGTTCATGTCAGTAATCCCTGGGCTTGCGATCCCGACTAGCTTTTCTCTGTGGTAAGCCAACTTACTATCAGTGAGTAACTGTCACGGTTCATGGGCCCTGAGTCCACACGGACAGATGGCTCGGCGGGCCAGCCCATTTGGGCCCCACACTGCGTTACCACAAGGGCCTCTTCCCTGCCTCTCTTTCAGCTCTCCGCCAACGAAAGTACTTGTTCGACAGCCTGACCCTGGAGCTCCGGGATGTCATCACGCATGTGAGGCTCACCATCTCCCCCGATGGCAGCGTGAGCCGTCTGTGACTCAAGGGCTTCCCCAGCTCCATCTGCTTGCTGCGGCCCGGCGAGAAGCCCATGATGAGGTTCTCTGTGAAAGCGGGCTTCCGAGCCAACCTCTGACTCCACGTGCGGCCGGCGTGGGCTACGGGATGACACAGTCCTACGCTTCTCCTGAAGTGTCTTTAACACCTAAAACTTAAGAGGTTTCTAGCAATGAATCTAAGATCAACATAATTCCTGGTGATTTAATAAAGTGGTCACTCTCACACGTTGACATCTGTACTTACTGTCGCAATGAAGCGTGTGGTAGGTTAAAAATTGTCTGTGGCTTTGAAAAGCAGGTGGTCTCATAAAGATTACTTTTAAAAACCACTACAAGATCTTGCTATTTATAGCATATTCTGTACCTGCTGTCTGCAGATTTGGCAGGCCATGTATTCATAGCCAATTGCCTTTAAAAGTTTAAGCCCATCAAAACCATTGGAAAAATATATGTCTGGAATCATTGATTGTCTCAGCTCAAGAGGACCCATCCTCTTTCTGGGCCCATCCCTACCCAGAAAAGGAATAACTTCTACAAGGGCACCCGCGACCTTGAATTGTTCTTCCCCAAATGGAAGTGCATTCTGAATGTTAAACCTTTGAGAAACCGTGTGCTAGCTTGATGAGTAATCCAGTTTCTCACAGGCTCTCAGTGGTTCCATACAATTCTTCCTTGACACAATTTTGATTATCCAGGCAGTCCTGATGACCCTCCCCCAAGCCCCCAACCTCTCCGGCACAGGAGGCTGGCAAGTGTAGTGGGAAGGTTGTGGTGAGTGTGGGGTGGATCCTCAGCACCCTCCCATTCCTACCACCGCTGCAGAGAGGTGGATCACGGAGCGTGTCTGTCTCCCCTCCTTCCCCTGAGCTCTGCTACCCTCCCCTGTCTAGGCTCGCTGATGCCCCCTCCCCTAGCCTGCTCTCCTCCTGCCCCTCTCCTCTCCAGGCCCTCAGATGCCCGCGCCCTCACCTGTCCCGGCTCCCTGCCGCCCCTCACCCGGCCATCGTCCTGCCCCGCTCAGGCCTGCAGGTGGTCACAATGGCCGGCTGGCGTCAGCGCGGGCGCGGAGCCGGGGCGCCCTGGCTGCGCAGGGCTGAGCGCGGCGAGCGGTGCGCGGTGGCCCCGGGGCGGCGGGCCATGGGCACGCGCGGGCCGCCCGCGCTGGTGGACCCCACGCCCGCCAAGACCATCCTGGTGTACCGCAACGGGGACGCGTTCTTCGCGGGCCGGAGGTTCGTGCTGCCGCGGCGCCGCGGGGCCACCTTCGAGGCGCTGCTGGACCAGCTGACCGAGCAGGTGCAGGCGCCCTTCGGCGTGCGGCGCCTCTTCACGCCGACGCGCGGGCGCCCGGTGCTCGAGCTGCAGGCGCTGCAGGCCGGCGGCAAGTACGTGGCGGCCGGCCGCGAGCCCTTCAAGAAGCTCGAGTGAGTGCGGCGCCCCTTCCGCGCGCCCTTCCGCGACTCGGCGAGTGGGCGGCGCACCGGTCGCCCTCTGCCTTCTGGGCGGGTGACCCGGGGAGCGCGGGGGCGCGCTGTGGCCCTCCGTGCGGGTGACCCGGGGAGCGCGGGCGGCACACCTGTCGCCATCTGTTGGCAGTGACCAGGCGAGTGCGCGCGGCGCACGGGTCCCTCTCTGCTCCGTGACCTGGTGGGCGCAAGCACGGAGGCGCACTGTCGCCCCCTTCTCACGGTGACCTGGCGAGTGCAGGCGGCGTTCTGTACCGCGTAGCTCGCTGGTGCGGTGGACAGCACACCTGGGCGCACAGCCCCCTCCCGCCGGGTGGGCAGGGCGGGCGTCCACCTGCTGTCAGCAGGTGTGTTAGAGAGTGTCAGAAAGGGCGTGGGGACGAGGAGTGGGCGGGCGGTGACCATGCGGCCAGGCCTCTCTCAAAAGGTGACCTTGGCTCGAAGATCTGGAGGAAGAAAGGCAGTTAGCCATGCCGGGGAATACTGGGGAAGTCCGTTGGAAGGCGGGAATCAGATCTGGGTCTGACTGCGCCGCTTGCCCCTCTGCTGGCTTGCCCCAGACTGGTGTTCTGCCATACCTGGCCGGGCATTCTCGAATGAACGCACTGGCTGAGGTGTGAAAGAGCATCTCCCAGCGGTGTCTCCTGCTAGCCTGAGGCCTTGCAAGCGTTGTAGCCGTGACCTCCAGAATCCTGGCCCAGAAGCAATGCTGGCCTACAGCACAGACTCTGAAAGTCGTGGAGAGCAAAGAAACACTCCCCGCCCCGTGTCTGTTGAGATCAAGACAGTCTGCGGGAGAGATGTTAGCTGTCCCGGGGAAATGCATCTGTGTGTAAATGCCAGGGTCACTGCAGAAATGGAAACTGGTCGGCCATACTCAACTGGTTAGTCATACTGGATGGTGTCCGCTCAAAATGTCAGTTTGATTCTTTTTTGTTTTGCTTGAGACTGGTATTACAATCCCTTTGAGGTCTTATTGCATATGGGGTCATACGGCACAGTTCTGTTTGTACCCATACTTTTTTTTTTTTTGTATTCCATTTTAGTTCTTTTTTTTTAAATTTTTTTTATTCTTATGTTAATCCCCATACATTACATCATTAGTTTTAGATGAAGTGTTCCATGATGTACCCATACTTTTCGTCTCAGGAGTACTCCAGTCTTCTTACAAGTTCTCTGAACTTTCTTAGTAGCTCTCATTATACAAATGGCTTTGCAACCCAAAATTCAAGCTTGCAGTTCTTCAACAAATAGCTGTTGTTTATCCCTTCCTGCGGCGCAGAGTCGGGGTGCTGTAGAGGCTTTGAGAGCTTTGTAGTGTATGTTTTGGGGAGATAAGAACAAATCCCTGTAAAAAAGAAAGGGGTTACTACTATGACAGATTCTGTTTAGATGCAGGACCTCTGAAAAGTCTTCTTTACAAATGCAAGGAGGAAATTGTTTCTTATCCTCCACGAATTCCTCACCTGGGGCAGCATCACCCATTTCTTGTGTCTGCCTTTAAAAGGCACACTGCCTGTGTTGATGCTGTTCCTAACGCATTTCCTTTATTGTGGAATGTGTTGTATATACAGCAGTGTATACAATTCTATGTATAGTTTAAGCAAAACTCTGTATAAACCACCCTCTGGATCAAGAGAGAGCACGGCTGGTGTTTGAAAACCTGCCACCTCCATCCCCATCCTTTTTCCACAGGTGACCACTATTTTGGCTTTTGTATCATCCTTCCATGATAATGGATCCTCAAAGGACAGATTTTTCAATGTTTCATGTTTGTGTACTTTATATAAGTGCTATCATATTGTATACAGTTTTCTGTTGGTTGCTTTCTCACGTGCTAATAGGCTGTGAGGTTCATCCATGTCAATAGTAGGTCATTCACTTTTACTGCCATGTGTTCTTTCATTGACTAAACTACCAGTTTACTTATCCGATCATTTGATGGCTAACTTGGGTTTTTCTAAATTTTATACTGAAATAAACAACGGCCCCGTTGTAAACATTCTTTTGCCTGTCTGCTGGTGCATATGGGTAAGAGTCTCTCTAGGAGGGTGCATTAATTATCTACTGCCAGATAACCAATCACCCCAAGCTTTTTGGCTTAAAACATCTTTATTATCTCATGGTTTCTGGGATCAGGAATTCAAGAGCAGCTTAGCTGAGTGGTTCTGGCTCAGAGACTCTCATGAGGTTGCAGTCAGCCTGCTGGCTACCGTCATCTGAAGGCCTGATTGGGGTGGGTGCTTCCAGGCTCACTCCCAGGGCTGAGGCAGGAAGCTTCATCACTGCTGTGGGAGCCTCTCCACAGCACCAGGGAGCCGGGAGGGAGCCCGGCTGACGCTACAGGGCATGTTGTTACTGCTCGTTCTCTGTCATGCTGTCTTCTCTCTCTGTCTGCCAAGTTATCTTTGTGTGCTGGACATTACTTTCAAAACTTACTTGCAGAAATAATTTGAGGCCTAGGGTGATACTGTCTTTTGCCAAAGTTGACTTTTTGTGTCTTTTGGCCAGATAACCTGTCATCAACTGTTCATGATCGCCTTAATACAACTTCAGAATGTGTGGTAATTTGGGCCACCCAGATGGCTTGAAGACAGGATGGACCCCACTGGGGTCCCAGTTCACAAAGATGGGTAGTTCACAAGGAGCCCCGTTCCTGGTGTGCCCTGAGCAAGTGCTTCTGCTTGCTGGCCACAGAGCCTGTCAAAGACATGGTTCAACCTCTCAGCCATCTGTCCACAGTGGGCAGTAATCCCTGGGCTGCAGTGGCCCCAGATAGTGGGCTCACATGCTTGGATTTTCTTTATTTCCTGGATCTTGGCCTGGTAATTCCTCATTATTTTGTTAGATGTCTAATGTTTCGAGTAAATGCTTTCATTTCATTTGATTTTATTAGTTTTTAGTGGATGGGTTGATCAGAGTTACTTAGTCCATGGTCCCCAGGGATGGAAACCCTCTCTCCCTCGTTCTTCACGTATATTTTTATAGATGTATGATTCTGTGAATGACAGTGTCCTTCAGTCCACAGAAGGTGTTTCTCTTTTTCTTTATTTGGGGAAGATTTTAGTTTTTTATTTATTTGAGAGAGAGACAGAGAGAGAGAGAGAAAGAGAGAACGAGTTGGAGGAGGGGCAGAGGGGGAGAGAGAATCTCAAGCAGACTCCTTGCTGAGCACAGAACCCGAGGTGGGGCTTGATCTCATGACCCTGAGATCGTAATTGGAGCAGAAACCAAGAGTTGCACACTTAACCGACTGTGCCACCCGGGTTCCCTGGAAGGTGTTTTTCTATTGTCTTTTAACTTCGTGGTTGCTGATGAGAAATCAATTATCATAATTTACTTATTTGAAAGTAATATTTTATCTTTTCTGGCTATTTAAAATACATTTTCTTTAACCCCAGTGTACTGTGGTTTAAGTGATACGCCCAAGGAACTGATAGATTGAACTCTCTGGAGTCTGGTATGGTAACTTTCAACAGCCATTGTGTCTTCAGAGGATGCCTCTCTTACACTTTCTGTGTTTTCTGCCTCGGAGTCGATGTGGGTTGGCCTTCCTCACTGACGCTAACCTCCGGGAGTCCTCCTCTCTGTCCCGAATTTCTCTCTTTTATCTTTGTGCTGTCCTTTAGGTACTTTGTACACATGGATCTTTTGGCTAATTTTTCTGCTGTGTATAAGACACTATCAAACCAATTCATTGAGTCTTAAATTTAAATTATTTAATATCTCATTTCTTTTTTTTTTT